GCACCACATTACAAGTGGTGTTTTCGGTTCCCCACGTAGTCTTTGTGCATGGCCTGAACACAGGGGAGCGCGCGCAGAACGGATTTGGCAGTCTGAACTTGCAGATCTGTTCTGCCACTAGGGAGGCATCTTTTTTTTAATGCCTATATGAACATGCACATGCACGCACATGAATTTTGGGATTTTTTTGGCCAGTACATACTGTGGCTGAGGCGCTGCAATAATGTGGATGCTTTACCACGGGATGTCTCCATAGGTAATTGTTGTTGTTGTTGTTATTATTAATTTGGGTTTGTATCCTGCCCTCCCCTTAACAGGCTCAGGGCGGGTTCCAATAATATAAATATCATACAACAAAATAAATGCAATACAAATAAAACTACATTAAAACAAGTAAAACATACAACTCTTATAAAAGGGCAGATGCCTCAGTGGTTGATAGTACTGGGAATAAGTTTCCCAGAGATCTGTGCAATCTGGGATCTCAGGCTATAAAATAGGGGGTGACCCAAGCTGTAAATGGGGCTTTCCCAAGGAGGGGGTGGGACGCCTGCTGACTCAACCAAAAGCTCGGTGGAAGAGCTCTGTCTTGCAGGCCCTGCGGAATCGTAACAAATCCCGCAGGGCCCTGATCTCACTCGGGAGCTCATTCCACCAGGCAGGGGCCAGGGCTGAAAAGGCCCTGGCCCTGGTCGAGGCAAGTTGGGCGTCCCTGGTGTGTGTGCTGTGTGGTTGATATGCCCCACAACACTTTAAACCGGTTCAATTAGAGGCAGCACCATATCGCACCAAGCCACCAGTGTGGCCACGGCCTGTGTGTCTCTCCATCTCTCTCTGTCTCTCTCTCTGTCTCTCCCTCTCTCTCTGTCTCTCCCTCTATCTCTGTCTCTCTCTCTGTCTCTGTCTCTCTCTGTCTCTGTCTGTCTCTCTTGCTCTCTGAGGATCTGGTGTAGGCCAGCGGATCAGCCACCTGTTAGGAGTGCCCTCCCACTGTTGTCCCCCAGCCAAGAGCACAGAGCATCACTGCCCCAGACAGAGTGTCCCATCTATACCTTGAGGCTAACAGCCCCTGATGGGCCACCGCTCCGTATGCTTGTCCAACCCCCTCTTGAAGCAGCCTATCCTTGTAGACACCCACCACTTCCTGCAGCAGTGATAGGAGGAAGACTCACCCCACCCAATCAGGACGAACTTCCAGGCATACTGCTTGTCAGACACAAAAGTCAGGATCAGCAAGGTCTGCAGATAGAGGCCTTCGACCAGCAGCCAAAAGAAATTGGCCAGAATGCTGAGTTGGAAGAAAGCCACGGCGGCTTTGCAGAGGACCTGTGGGACAGGAAAGAAACACGGCGGTGGCTTTCAGATCAGGAGATTGCTTTGATGTGAGATGATCTTGCCTCGAGGCCCAAGCTGCTTGTTTCCTGGCAAGGATTCTGTACCCAGGGCTGGCATCCGCATAACCCCACAACGTAGGGTTGCCAGCCTCCAGGTGGGGCCTGGGGATCTCCCGCTTTTACAACTGACCTCCAGCTGACAGAGATCAGCTCCCTTGGAGAAGATGGCTGCTTTGAAGGGTGGACTCTGTGGCATTATACCATGCTGAGGCCCCTCCCCAAACCCCGCCCTCTCCTGGTTCCACCCCCAAAGTCTCCAGGTATTTCCCAACCCAGACCTGGCAACCCTACTGACAACATGCCATTTCTCTGTGTGAAGGAGTACATTTTTCCTGGGAGGTTTGATATGAGCCAAACCTCCACTTTGTGTTTTAACTGTTCCCCCTCCCCCTCTGGGCAGAGAACAGGATGCGGGGGAGGTAGTCAGTCAATGGCCTTCCAGATGCACCTCAGCTCACCTTCATACAAATGCAAACAGATCTAGCAGGAGAAATAATGGGTGGGACAAGCTCTCCCCCTTCTCCCCACCCCTTCAAGCAGGGAACAGAGATTTGGAGGGATAGAATACTAGATAGTCTGCAGGAGGGAAATTCCTGGAGATCTCCAGGAAATGCTTCTTTGCCGTGGCATGAACTGGTCTGTGGGAGGAGAAACAGATATGATAAAAATGCCTGGGAGCCAGAAGGAGGGTCTCTTTTGTCCTTGGGTGTGGACTCCATGAGGGGAGGTACACCACTCCCCTGAGAAGGCAGCCATTGACCATGTGCTTGCCTCAAGACCTGGAACAAGCTTTAAGGTAGTGGTAACTCTATAGGGATCTGAAACATCCTAAGCTAAAGGGGCCTGTCCTATTCTAACATGTGATAGGGCATGTTTAGAGAAAGGGACAGAGGATTTGCATTTCTCCCATTTCTTTTGGATCCCTTGCTCAATTTGATGCTGTGCTGAAAGCCACCTTCCTGCAGACTATCTAGGGTTGCCAACTTCCAAGTGGTGGCTAGAGATCTCCTGAGATTAAAACTGATCTCCAGGTGACAGAGACCAGTTCACCTGGAGAAAATGAGTTTTGTGTGCTTCTGAATAGGGTTGTGAAGTCTGGACTGGGAAAATTTTGGCAATTTGAGAGTCTGGTGCTTGCGGGGGGGCACAGTGGGAGGACTCTGGAGTTCTGGCTCCACTGGTGGACCTCCTAATGGTGCCTGGGTTTTGGCCACTGTGTGACACAGAGTGTTGGACTGGATGGGCCACTGGCCTGATCCAACATGGCTTATCTTGTGTTCTTAAGAGCAGAGGTCCATCAGTGGCTATTAGCCACAAGGTATAGATGAAGCACTCTGTCCTTTAACAGAGGCAAGACCCCTGGGAATCCAGCAAGGAGAACATCCCTAAGTTAGGAAAAAATATTCTTATAAATAGCTTCAAGAGGGAACTGGATAAACATATAGAGGAGAGGGCCATCATTGGCTATTAGCCACAAGGTATAGAGAGAACACTCAGGTTGGGGCAAGTGATGCTCTGTCTTCTTGGTGCTTGGGGGGCAACAGCGGGGAAGCTTCTGGAGTTCTGGCCCTGCTGGTGGACCTCCTGATGGCACCTGGGTTTTGACCACTGTGTAACTCAGAGTTCAGGACTGGATGAGCCATTGGCCTGATCCAACATGGCTTCCCTTATGTTCTTATGTTTGGGGCAGTGATGCTCTGTCTCTGGCCCCACTGCTGGACCTCCTGGTGGCACCTGGTATTTTTGGCCATTGTGTGACACAGAGTGTTGGACTGGACGGGCCATTGGCCTGATCCAACATGGCTTCTCTTATGTTAATATGTCTGGAGCAGGGATGCTCTGTATTCTTGGTGCTCGGAGGGCAACAGTGGGATGGCTTCTGGAGTTCTGCCCCCATTGGTGGATCTCCTGATGGCACCTGGGTTTTGACCACTGTGTGACTCAGAGAGCTGGGCTGGATGGGCCACTGGCCTGATCCAACATGGCTTCCCTTATGTTCTTATGTCTGGGGCAGTGATGCTCTGTCTTCTTGGTGCTTGGGGGGGCAACAGCGGGAGAGCTTCTGGAGTTATGGCCCCGCTGCTGGACCTCCTGATGGCACCTGGTAGTGTTGGACTGGATTGGGCCATTGGCCTGATCCAACATCGCTTCTCTTACGTTCTTATAGTCTAATGCCAGAGAGTCTACCCTCTGAAGCTGCCATTTTCTCCAAAGGAACTAATTTCTGTAGCCTGGAGATTAGTTGTAATTAGGGTTGCCAAACCCAGATGGTGAAATTCCTGGAGATTTGGGGGTGAGGCCTGGAGAGGGTGGGGTTTGGGGAAAAGAAGGACCTCAGCATGATACGAAGCCATGAGAATCTAGCCTCCCAAGTCTCCATTTCCTCCAAGGGGACTGATCTCCATCATCTAGAGATCAGATGCCATTCTGGGAGACCTCCAAACCAAAGCGTTTCAGTACGTTCCAGTCATCTTTTCCGCAGGGGTCCCATCTGTTCCCAGCTTGCCACTAGATCCGGAAATGAAATGAATTTGAAGATTTCTCCTCAAGCTAAATGTTTGAGAAATTCCAAAGGAAACCAAAATTCCTTTGCCACACCGGGTGGGAAAGAGGGTGTGCCAAACAGAAAATTCTTCTAAAAAGCAGTTTTTGTTTGGGGGGGGGGGGGGACGACCCAATCTGAGTTTAGAAGTTTCCAGAAAAAAAATACAAAATAGTGTCTTCTTTCTAGAAGGAGATTGGATTTATTTATTTATTTATTAGATTTCTATACTGCCCTCCCAAAGGCTCAGGGCGGTTCACAAGCGGCAAAGCCGGGGTCTAAAATACAATAAAACACACAATAAAATACAATACCCCGCCCTTCACTACCCAAAAGGTGTCTCAGAGCGGCTTACAAACTCCTTTCCCTTCCCCTCCCCACAGCAGACACCCTGTGAGGTAGGTGGGGCTGAGAGAGCTCTGACAGAAACTGCTCTTGAAAGAACAGCTCTGAGAGAACTATGGCTTGCCCAAGGTCACCCAGCAGCTGCAAGTGGAGGAGTGGGGAATCAAACCCAGTTCTCCCAGATTAGAGTCCGCGCACTTAACCACTACACCAAACTGGCTCTCTATTGGAAGCCTCTTCTAAACCTTTAGAGGGGGAAAGCTGGACTAATATTTTTTAGGATTAACATCATGTGTTTTTCTCCAGTTTGTACATTTATAGTTTTTTTTTTTAAAAGCCACAGTAAATCCACTGTATTCTCTCCTCCCCTGAAAATTCCTGCCTTGTGAGGAAGTCGGAAGCACAAAAGGCTAATACCAGATAAGGTAAAAAAATCTATCCTTTCCCCCTCACAAAAGCAAGATATAATTAAGAAAGCTCGATGGCATATAATTAGCCAAACGACATGCTGAGTGTTAGCAGTAAAAACCGAACACAGGAATCACATCTCAAAAGCTGAGGGGGGAGATGAGAGACGTACCGTTGACATCAAGCAGTGGTCCATGCTGTCGTCGGAGAACAAAATGGCGTCTTTGGTGAAAACGGCCGCTGCCCTCAGGATGAATGACACAAACAAATGCATGTGGATGTAGTTCCGTGTGCAGTGGAATTTTCTGAAAGGGAGGAGGAAAGGGAAGAAGAAGAAGAAAAGATATCAAAATACAATGTCGCTATGCAGACCTAAGCTAAGTTGACTTCAGGTTTTGGAACATCTAGGCCTGGGTCGCCAGCCTCCAAGTGGTGTCTTGGCATCTTGCAGAATTACAAGTGGGCTGCGGTCAGACGAGCAGTTTGATCCAATGCCGTTGCTGTTCCCTTCCAAATTTAAAGTGCACAATCAGACAGCAACATCTGCCTCCGGTTCCTCAGTCATTGGCACCCTGTTCTGACCTGCCCAAGTTTAGGCACCAGGGGAACTCTGGTCTTTACGGATATCAGCGCTTTCACCCCGCATTTCTGGATGTCTGAACTCCCCTGTTCTGAACTCAAGCCAGTTGGAAAGTGTGAACCTTCCTGTATGTTTCCACCCTTTTTAAAAATCAGATAGCATCGTGCACATAAGAGCAAAATCATCCCTGGGTCTTCAATCACCACTTGTGTGTTTATTTTTAACAGACAGTTTACGGACCTCTCTTTCTCTTTCTCTCCTGTGTTTTTCTTAAGGAAACCTCCAAAGCACAGTTGCAAAAACATAAGAACTTAAGAGAAGCCAATGTTGGATCAGGCCAATGGCCCATCTAGACCAACACTCTGACACACAGTGGCCAAAAATACCAGGTGCCATCGGGAGGTCCACCAGTGGGGCCAGGACACTAGAAGAAGCCCTCCCACTCTCTCCCTCCCAAATACCAAGGATACAGAGCATTATTGGCCCCAGACTGAGAGTTCCTGCCTATACCTTGTGGCTAATAGCCACTGATGGACCTCTGCTCCAGATGTTTATCCAATTCCCTCTTGAAGCCGTCCATGCTTGTAGCCACCACCACCTCCTGTGGCCATGGATCCCATGTGTTAATCACTCTTTGGGTGAAGAAGGACTTCTTTTTCTATGTTCAAACCCGGCTGCTCAGCCATTTCGTTGAGTGCCCACGAGTTCTTGCATTGTGAGAAAGGGAGAAAACACTTCCCCCACGCTGAACTACATATCCCAGCAGCCTCCTCTAGCAATCCCATTGGCCACCAGCCATTGCCATCCTGCCAGGAGTTTGAAGCGCTGCTTCCAATACACGCTTATGCACATGCTTGGAAGACAAGTGATAAAAAAGCTGCCTGGCTGCCCACTCCGTGGTTGCCACACAGCAATAATCTGATCGATCCACCACTGAGTGACTTGGGTTAAGGGTGGGGTGTGGGACCAAAACTCTGGTCTCCAGTCTGCAGAGATCAGTTCCCCTGGAGAACACGGCTGCTTTGGAGGGTGAACTCTATGGCCCTATTCCCCCTTAAGATCCCCCTCTTCCCCAAACCCCACCCTCCCCAGGCTCCATCCCCAAAATCAGGGGTCATTTCCTGCAGGAGCGCACTGGAGCGGAGCTCCGGCAGTAAAGAGGCCAGAGGGTGGGCACATGCAACAAGCCCTGCCCCCTGCTTCCAGCAGCCCTCAGTCAGAGCAAGAAGCAGCCAGGTAAGTTGCAGAGCCCCCCCCCCGGTCCCCTCGTCCAAAACAGTCCAGTGGCACCTTTAAGACCAAGTTTTATTCAGGTAGGAGCTCTCCCTCCTCTGCGAGGAAAGATCTGCACGTTCCCCCCTCCCCATCGCTAGCAATCCAAAAGAGTCCAGTGGAGTTTGAGCAGTGGGTGTTGCCTTCTGACACACTTCCGGTGATGTCAGGGGGTGTGGCACATGCAAATGAGTTACGCTAATGAGCTCCTGGACCTCTTTTTCTACAAAATGACCCCTGCCCAAAATCAACATGGATTCCACCACCCAGAGTTGGCAACCCTGTCTAAGCAGTAGTTTTTAAACTCATCTTTAACGTGCAGGTAAAAAGGTAAAGGTAAAGGTTTCCCTTGCTCGAAAGCCAGTCGAGTTCGACTCTAGGGTTCCCGTGCTCATCTCCGTTTCCAAGCCGAAGAGCCAGCGCTGTCTGAAGACGTTTCCGTGGTCATGTGGCCGGCATGACTAAACACCAAGGCGCACAGAACGCTGTTCCCTTCCCACCGAAGTGGTACCTATTTATCTACTTGCAGTTTCTTGCTTTCGAACTGCTAGGTTGGCAGGAGAACTTGCAGATAGGCCATGGGATAGAGACTTAAGGCCTCAGGTGTAGCACAGACAGTAATTCCTTGTACGCATGTTCAGACTGTGGTGGCCACGTCAAGAGTACCCGGTGGCTACGTATATCTGTTGTGGTTCCATCTGAAGACCCATGAACAAAGATGGCAGGAATGAAAATGGCCAGCAGTTTAAATGCCAGAGGTCTTCCCACTGCTGCCAACAGCTTTGGTCTAGGAGATCTAGAGACCTTTGTGTATTTCTGCAACAAATGTCAGAATATGGCACTTGACTGAAAATCTGGTGACCTCACAAATCCATTAAGGCTTCTGTGGGGGGGGGGGACTCTTCTTTCTTAGAGCCAAAACATGGTAATTCACATACTGGAGTTCTCAAGTTAGGGTCCTAGGTGTCTTTGGGCATAAGAGAACATCAGAGAAGAAGAGAGAGAAGAGAAGAGACTGGATTTATACCCCACCCTTCACTACCCAAAGGAGTCTCAGAGTGGCTTACAAACTCCTTTCCTTTCCCCTCCCCACAACAGACACCCTGTGAGGTGGGTGGGGCTGAGAG